TGTACATAAACTCTCAGTATAAATAATGTATATGTGAACAATGAATATTGTTAAGTAGTTTAAAACTAGTACAATTTTTTTAATTTTATCTTACACTTAAGAAAATAAGTTGTGATTTTATGTTTTCGAAATTTAAGTACGTACGGCAGTCAGTAGCTATACACGCAACAAAAAATAAATAATAAATAAAAACGGTTAACACTAACATTGGTAAAGTATCTACTATCTAGTATACTTTTATCATTGTTAAAAATGTAAAATACTGCTTTTAGCGACCTATGGAATTTGATTTTACCGAATTTGTATGCTCAAAGTCTGTGTTTGAAGTATTATTATTGTTATGAACGTAATTAGTTTAAACTAATATTTGAAAATCGTCCAATAGTATATTATACCTAAAGTATTTGTTACATTGACGACTGGTTATAGCTGGCATGTCTGCTGTAAAATTTTATTTAGGTCTTCTGAAATACGTCAAGACTCTAGATCGCCAAAACGGTATATTATTATCATATTGATAGATCGCGGCTGTCGACCGCGTTCCATTGAAATTAGAAAAAAAAATAAGACGTACACTCGTGACATTTTGACCACGGAGAGGAATAATAATAATAATAATAATAATACCAATAATTATTATTTATTATAACCATGATCGGTGAAAAGATCTTTGTTCCGTTTGGTATCAATAAATGGTCGATTTCATACAATGATTCAATTATATATAATTCATATTATATAACATAATATACAAAATAATGATTCACCATACGTGTTTATCGCTATTTATTCAAACATGGTATTTTTGAATATACCTAACTGAGGTAATGAAAATAATATTTTAAATTATTTAGATTTTTGTATTGTTTAAGAAGTGGAATACATAATTTCAATGATTTTTTTTTTTAGAAAATTTGGATTTATCTAAAACAAAATTTGAAATTTTGAGTTATAAAAATATATTATGTTATAGCAAAGCTAATATAGGTAGTCATTAAAAATGGTATTTTTAAAAATATAAAATAGAAGTAATATTGAATCTAGTACTTATTATACTTGAAAAATTTGTACAAATTATACGGTGTTAATAAACTAATATAGATCACTATAATTTTCAAATTCTCATAGTTCTCATAATTTCTCAAGTTTATTATCATAGACCTACTATCCTTGATCATACAGAATAAAATATCCCAAAGCTACTGGTTCGGATTTTAAATTAGATACATTGAAATTTTCCACTCGTTTTATAAAAATGTATAAGAAAAAAAGGAACGGTTCTCATAAACTGTGAAACATAAATCGTTATCGTCACTGGCACACCTTGCTGATTGGTACCAATACAAAGTACTAAATATTTGAAAATTTAATCATCAAGACGTACCTATACTTAAGGATCTCGAAAACAATTAATGAGAAATCAAAATATAAATTCACTAACAAATGATAAAATTGCGGTGAAGGGGGGGGGGTGTACACCGTCGGTAAATCACTCTGTACGTTATGTGTGCGCGTTATTATTATAATATCGAGTAGGTAGCGTTATTATCGTTGTAGGAAATTTTCTGGTCAAATTGGCAAATGTGACGGATGTGTAACGCGGAATGTAATATAAACGTGGTCTGGGGAAAGGCGTTTATAATATAATATAATAACATTATATGGTCGGCGAAAGTATGTCCGGCTTGCCACTGCCGGTATAATATAAATATGTATTTGCGTGTGCGTGTGTGTGTGTGTGAATTATAGAGAAAAACACACACCGGTCCGGCAATGGTAGGCCGGTTTTCTGGGTCAAAGAATGCGGGATAAAGACCTTCGGAGGTCGTTCACTCACACCGCCTGCAGACGGCGGCGGCGGCGGTGGTGGTAGACCGTACATAATAATAATAATATTATAATATATAATATATTTATCGCACATAATATTATCCTCCTTACGTACGTTAAGTATAATATATTATTATTATTATTATTTTAAATGTTGTTTTGCGTGCTGGCCAATAGCGTCGTCCATGTCGCAGCTGCAGTTAGCCGTAGACGCTGTCGTCGTAGTCGTCGTTGTCCTCCCACTTATTCGTAATGATTTTCATTGAAATCGAATTTTCAATACGTACGTCCGCCGCGGACGTTTGACGTCATTTCTAAAATTATACTTCTTTATACTTCTAAGTTCCGCCAAACGTTACTAAACATACCTAAAAAATCAATAATTTTCAACCCGTTCGACGTCGTGATGATAATAAATTGCTTTTAATAATGGGCGCGTTGTCTTAACACATGCATCATTATGATGTATGATGGTGAATTGGTTCATCGAAAATGAAAACACCCTATTGATATCATACACACTTACCTGCAATATTCACATTTAATTTTTCGAGAAATATATATTATTTAATCCTATACAATATTATGCATTTAAGTTATGGTTTAAATTTTGTTTTTACCTGCGCTGTCGATTTGAAAAATAATTATTTCATACAAACAATATACACCTTGTCGATAAAACATTTTGGTATTTATTTTTAAGATATAATATACATATATTGAATATTAATAAATTAACGAAATCTTATGTCGTTGATAATCATTTAAACTTCAGGAGTTCATAATACGTTTCTAAACTGCAAATAAACTTTCTTTCTGTATATAAATCTATACATTAAATAAAATATACTTTCTTGTTGTCCACCGATCGATACGATGAATTTGTTTTTCACTGTTGAGAAATATCGAATGAGAAAAATCGTTTTTAACTTAGAATTGTACTAATCTATCGTCGTTTGGCTTAGTACATTTCAACGAAATAATTTAAGACTATAACACCATACATATATGAATATAAATGATTCGAATGATTTAACTGCATCGGAAAAAAATTACATACTAAATGGCCAAAAAAAATAAATATGTTTGAAACACAGTATAAAATGTTATAATTACAATCGTTTTACGTTGTGCACAAAGTATCAACGTGTTATTTATGTTTAATAAAGAATCAGTATAATATTATGTACGCACTACCATCGTTTCCAATCGTAATACACGTTTACGTCAAAGGTACAAAAGTGTTAAGAACAATTTTGAATCAGTTAGACGCTTCAAAATAATAGTAGGCATAGACACTCAAGACATTTTAGAGACTCGTTGGAAATGCCATTGAACGTTAAGATCAATCGGTGTTCGTATGTGTCAGACATAAATGAAGTGGCCACTGAGTTCAAGATTATTGTTTAAAGAAATCGCGCCATGTCAGCAGAATGCATTAAGTGTACCTACGTATTTTGTTCCGGATGCCATAAAACATTCTACTACTTTTCTCTCTCTCTCTCTCTCTTTCTCTCGAATGAACTATGCATTTCGTGCGAACAACAGCTGTTTCTTGAAATCACATTTATAACTGTTTCCATCAGTAAATGCATATATCATACAGATATATAAATACACGTAAAACATTACGAGTTTGGCATTAAAACGTCGCGAATGTGCATCACGTAGGCGGTATTCACAAAACATTATGAGTAAACTAATCTATTGCCTTTTTACTCAGCCGTTTCAAGTTATTGATTTCCAAGATCTGTTATGTTTTGACCGGAAGCTAGAATACGACGAAATGATGCGTGATGCATAATATATTATAATTATTTCTAAAGTTATACCGATGACGCATTTCAAGCGGTGGTTATCGTCTCATTCGTCTGAGTGTAATATTATTTTATACCTACACAAGTTTCCTACATAGAATATATACACAAAAAAAAAAAAAAACGAACAATGTCGCCATAAGTATATTCCATGACCTTTTACTGTTGATTTATTGTCATGTTTTCGACGTCGTTTTATATTTCAATCGCAAAGTAGATCAATAATATTATGTCACAATATTTGACTTGGCTTCTAAGCCAAAACATAGAAAATAAAATATGTTATATATTTTCATATAAATAGAAGATTATAGAAGGTACAATAAATAAATAAACACTACATCCATAAGTTATTGTTTTAATGAAATAATGTATTTTTAGTGTTCCTACATAGTTATTGATTTTTCTTGCATATCCGACCACAGACAGTTTGATAAATTACCAACCATCATAAAAACTGTTCTCGGACTGTTTTGTTCACGACATTTCGTCCATTTTTTTTTTTTTGCCCATCCATTTGTAAGTACCCAATTTGTTTTTGATCACGCCAAGCTGACATTAATAACAGCGCCACAACCCAAACATTAATCATTTCATTCAAATGTTATTTGAACTATCAAGTATACTAGGTCATATTTTACTCTTTTGGTAATATATCAAATATTTAAATAGATAGTATGGATTATACATTTAATTTTTTTTTTTTAGTAAGGTTTTAGTATATTGTTTATAATAATTAATAAAGATAGGTACCTAATTAATAAAACCGATTGTAATGTTATAAATGCTTAAGTATTTCTTAAGCGTAGCATAATATGAGAATAAAAAATTATACTTAACGACTTGTCATAATATAAATTGTTGTTTTATGATATAAATTAATAAAAAGTTTGCTAACATCAGTAAAAATATTTTATTTGATTGATTAAATATATGAAAAATATTTTTATTTCAACGAACTGTAAAGTTGAACAAAAATTCTATGCATAAACTTATTTAAATTATAAAAATAATAGACGAAAACACGTAAATGCCATTTAGTCGTATCGAATAAAATATATTGTGTTCTACAATATATTGTATTAATTTTAGATCAGGTGAGTAAAAATCATAAACATTGTTAAAATGGAGTTGTATTCTTTTATTTCCATTCGTATTACATATGTCTATAAATGTAGTAGGTATAGGTATAATATAAATATAATTGTGTGTGACATACGTCTAAGACGCTTACAAAGTATATATAGTATTATTAAACATTCAAAGATGTTTGAGCTTTAAATTTACAAAAAGTAAAACCATATGTGTGACATAATATTATTATACATAAAATATGTATAATAATTAATAATGCAATACTATTATAGTTGTTCTTCACTCTAAATGTTACAAAATATGTTTGGTCATTGAATACACGAAACGTGTCAAAATTTAAGGTAAGATTAACACGATCATTATTATGTAAATATACAATGAAATTGCGATGTGTATTATAAATTACAATAAAAATATTATAGTGTACTTAAAGAATTGTATTTGATTACGAATTACTGTGAAGTTATCATCTTCAGTGAGAGTGCTAAAAAAATAAAATCTGAAACAAAAAACAATTGTATATTATTGAAGATGGTGAAATATAAACATAAACTAAGTATCATTTATCATAATATATTTTTATAATTTTATTAGTGTTAATTAAATTTGGAAATAAAAATTAATCAATAGTTCTTTTCAAACCTATTATTCTATCAATCGTTTTTTGGTTTTCATTCTGATCTAAGTAAATATACTCATAACTCAAAACTTCATATCAATAATATTTTTAAATTTTAGATTTATACTCAAAAAAGTATTTTTGTCCAATAATTGTTTATATGATAATTTACAGAACAAATAAAAAAAATTAAAAATGAACAGAAATGAGCAATAATAATTTGTTTGAAAAACTCAACATCTATATTTCACGTTACTAAAATTAATACAGATACCTAAATAAGCTTTACTTAAAATTGATTTTTTTTTTTTTTAATGTCATATCTATTTATATGTTTAAACAATTATTGACAATTGATTCGTAAATTAATTACTGCACGCATAATTTATATGCAAACAGTATGTGATAAGTGTGCACCGTGGAAAAATAAAAAATATATTTTTATACAAATACACATGTTCATTGTTAAAATATTAACCACAAATAAATGTATTAATATACAATTATCATATAAATAGTACCTTTAATGTGTGAATATAGTTTCTCATTTCTCTTGTTTTTTGGTCTCAATACTTGGTGCTTTGGATAACGATTTGTCTGATGACTTCTGTCGTTCTACTTTGCCTTTAAAAACATAATAAAACAAATCGATTTTTACTATTTTTATTAAACTGTCAAAATTCAAATATGTATTTGTTTTGGTTGAAATGTAAACATATATGTTTTTTTTTTATTATTGAATAATCGTTCAAACATGGAAAAATAAGTGAATGCGGTGTTCGAGGAAAAGAAAAAATGGTTCACAGAGTGAAGAATTCATTCACTCAAGGAACTTTGACTCAAAATGCATTGTCTGTATTTTATTTATAATATTATTTAAGCAAAAAATATTCCATTAAACGAACTATTTTAATATAAAAAATTGAATTTTTAAATCGTTTAGAAATTTAAGTTTACCTAATTTAGATAAACTTTAGTGCTCATAAATATTTAAAACATAAATTTGATACACATTTTATTTATTAAAACATATGCACTTTAATATTAGCATAGTACTTATAATGTACTATTTTATTCATTCGATATTTGTGTAATATAAAATACATCCATAAAAGCGTTATTCAACTGTTATCATAGTAATTTGATATTCCATTGTTCGAGTAAGGGTGAAAAATACGACGGTAGTGAAAATAACATTTCTATATGATACCGATCGCCTAAGTTAACGTCCAGTGCATGTTTTCATTATTCATGATGATGTATATTGAATAATGTTGACAATTTTGTTACATGAACATTCAAGAAATAATACTCTACCGATTTATGGTTTCCAGTTAAACATAAATTTAGATAAATACAATAACAGTTTAAATGTTGAATCAACAACCGATCGACAATTGTAACCAATTTTTACATACCGTGCAATTGTGTATGTTGATTCAAATGACAATTAATAATAATGCACCTTAATTAAAATCGATGTCAATTATAAGTAATTTATTTTACAAAAAGTTGTATAATATGTGTTTATATGCATATTGTAGACATATTATAAACTACGACAGATAAAAATAATCGATAAATCTACTCTAACAAATATTAGGTAACATAACAATTTATAAAACTTAATAGAGTTGACTGAACATAGGTACTTATTGTATTCTTGTTTATTATATTATACTTATGTATTTATTTTAATTCTATACTTAAAATAAAATATTTTTGAATTTTAAATACATCACAGATAAACACATTTATTTTTATTGGCATTAGGTTTATATTATATTAATATTATGATATAAATCGGACATCAATTCAACTATGTCTCAACTAATAAATATGTAAAGAATTAAATAAAATTTACTATACAATAATAATGATTTTAAAGTTTAAAATTGTATCATAATATATTTTCATATCTATTTTATATTCGTGGTTAAAAAATTTAGAACTGTTATTGTTTTTTTAAATTTTGGAATAGAAAACATACATTTAAAGAATTTGTTTAAATATATTATGCTGTTTATAAATAATATTATAAACTATTGTTTAATATTTCCATTAAAATCTTCTAAGTTTCATACAATACATTTTCACCATTAAATGTAATTATTTTATTCACATTTTTAATTAAATTATTATTTATTTATTTACTATTAATTCTCTTATATATTCATATACTATACAGTATACACATATTATAATATAATTAGTTAAGGTACCAACAATCAATAATAAATGTTTATACTGCTTTAGGTATCTTTATAATTATTATAATATTTCTTAAATAATTCGGCGTATTATAATTTATTTCGTTAAACTTCAAACAGTAATTCGTTTTGCTTAGAAATTATTTTAAATAAAGGGTACCTGTATACAATTTTAATTTACTTTCAAGATAAGCACATTAATTAATGTAACAATTCATACAAATAAAAAAACATTTTAAATTAATTTTTTTATAGAATAAAAACTGCGTAATAAATAAATAATAATAATCTGAATTTCTCAGCGTATATGAATGTGACATTCTTTGCACCCTGAAAAACGTCAGTAAACATGCGTGTACACACACACACACATACGTATGTCTGAATTCCATAAATTGTTCGCGTTACCTTGACCCAGCATTAAGAAATTACTTCACCTACATTATAATTTCTACGCATCATTAAAATAAAACACATAACTGGATTGTAAACTCTATCGTTTTTGCAATATTTGTAAAAAAAAAAATTCAACTTTTATTACAAAATAAAACAAAATAGATTATCATTATTATGGTTTCTATAGAAAATATACAAAACAGAATAAATGTACTGTATTCAATAACTTTTAAAGGTTTTATAAATTAAAAGTAATAAAGTAAAAATATAAATATTACTTAGGAAATTTAATTTCATCGCTTTGGTGATTATGAGTTCTCAATTATTAATAACATTATATTATTATTCATAACTGCGTGTTTTGTAATTTTATTAAATACTTAAGATTAGTTGATTAAGTAGACAAGCAGCTTAAGTCTTTTACGCTTTGTAATTATTTTTAATACTCGTGTATAACATATTTAATTGCTTAGCATATAAATCGCTTCAATTTTACGTTCATAATGACTGTTATATTTTTCGAAACAAGGATTTGGTATAATATTTTATTTAAGTGAGATGTATAACACTTCAGTTATAGAAAGTGTATTAAATTGCTTAAAATTTGATAATAAATATATTTGGTATATGTCATACGATACATTGAGTCGTTAGTATGATAGCATTATCGTCCGAATGACCTTTTAAATGCATTAAATATGATTTTGAGTACGGATTGTCGGAACGTAATAATATTTTGACATTACGACGGGACAGCAAAATATTAACAATATCATAATCACAATGTGCAAAATCGTTTAACACGATGTTTTTCGTAAGCGAATAAATAACTTTATCGTCTTTCATAGTTTCGTGTTATTTTTTGACGTAAACACGACTTAGATTTCGTTAGTCAGAACCATATGCAATCGTCCAACTATATGCGCATAATTAAAACGGAGGGTGAGCGCATATTGTAACACGATGTTGTGATGTGCATGTTAACGTTAAACTTTCGTGGTTAACGTTCAACTCGAAGTTTCGTTAAGCGTAAGCGCTTTTACTTGTATGCAAAATTAAATAGCATCGAAAACGTAGTAACAGTTACGAACCGCACAGCGCGACAATAACTATAATATTAAATTATATTATTGTAATAATAAATGCAGAATCACTAGGCGGCGATCTCCGACGAGGGAGTGGGAGCGAAAAAAATTGACTAGTCGTCGCGTATTGGATTTTAGCGCCGTATGATTGATCAAACATAATAATATTAATACACTCTACGACCATCGTCGTTATATCAGTATTTTCATCGTTGTCGTGTGTGTGTGATGCATGCGTGTGCAGTCATGTCCACGTACAGGTATCCAATTCCGGCGAGACGCGCGCAGTAAATAATGATCATTTTATCATCGTCCATCGTAACATATTATTATTATTATTATTATTATTATACACTCACTGTTTTGTTTTTTCGCCATGTGTCTAGCCTTGGCCCTCTCCACTTCCTGCATGGCGACGTTCGGGAAGGTGCCTGCGAACAAACACGACAACAACAGTTGCAGCGAGTACAATAATAACGCGATAAGATAATAATATAACACTATAATGTATTCTAGGAAAATAATTACGGCGGCGGCGACTTTGAGTGCGATGGGTTCGAGGACAGATATTCGCCTGTATGGCGAGTTCACAATAAAGTGTGGATTGGTGGAAGGATGTGTGAGGGGGTGGAATATAGGATTTTCCAAAGGAAGTGGGCATCGGAGAGAGATATTTGTTACCGTATGTAGGTATACACATTTTATCTACGCATAATATTGTAATATCGTAACGTTTCGTCTTGTACCTCTCTTGCCTCCAAGCGCGGACGGTCCATAGTTATGTCTCCCCGTGGGAGACGACGAGCTCAGCCAACAGTAAATGGTGGTGGCCTTTGTAGTACCGGTGGAGCGTTTAAACGTCCGCCGCTGTCGGCGGATGAAACGGACACGAAACTCAAATGTCGTGACAAAGGACTACCGTGAGTCATCGGCAACGGTTGCGACGGCGGTGGTGGCGGACGGTCGCATCTCGCAAAGCCTCGGAGTCGCACTGACCGCCGCCGACGCCGTCCGGGCAAAGAGCTGTCGATATGCGTGCGAAACGGTCGTCGAGCGCAAGCGCCACCACCGCCCGCGCTACCAACGCGAACGCAACCTCCGGACGGCTAACGACGCCTTCGTTGTGCAAGTCTCGTCGTTAAATTCTGGTGTTGTTGTCGTGAGGAAGACAGTTTTTATTATTTTTAATTTTTTTTTTTTTTTTTTTATCACTGGATCTCACAAAATGTATGCGCATAATCTAATAACGCAATAATATTGTTATTGTACGATTTCATTGTCAGACTATTTTTCAAGCAGACGTACTAGAACATAATACAATGTCTACGTATAAACAAAGTGTGTGTGTGTGTGTGTGTGTGTGTGTGTGTGTGTACATATACGTATAATAATGTTTTGCGAGAGCAAATGCGTTGTTAGAATTTCTTTAATTTAGATTTGTCCATTTCCGGAGGGCCTCACTCTCACTGCGGTAGATAAAAACAATATTATCATCGAACCAGCGAGTATAACACGACGTGGAGTCCATCATTCACTGATATTGTATTATGTTTATCGTTATTGTTTTTTGTTATTGTAAGTACTAAGTACCTACCAAACGGTCGCATAAATCGAGTGGCTTGTGTCTTCATTTATTTCTTTCTTTTCTTTTTCCCGGTCAGATCATAATAAATCATTCTTTGTCCCGTTACATTTCTTTACCGTCGTCAAACTCTAATCGAAAATCGATCACTATATTATAAACGTGTAAGCATTTTTAACCACCTATAACGTACAAAAATACTATAATATTATAAAATAAAATCATTTATAACAATATCGCCCAATTATTTATTTATTTTTTTCTACACTTTTATTGTTTTCAAGTAGTAAGTCACTAACTATCCTTAATACTTATGCAGAAATTAGCATTATTGTGCAATGTTTATAATAGAATAGACAAGGAAAACAAACAGAATCGCTGAGGATCCTTTTAAATATATTTCTTATTATTTGGATTACTTTCAATGATTTCAAATACTTTTGTGTTCAAATGCCAAACTAACAATCAAAGAGTATACTAAAAATCATCTCATTTCCACACGAACGCATTATACTTTAAGTCTTGAAATCGAGTATGATTGTACTTCTTAAGTACTTGATAATGTTTGTTTATACTAGAATGTATCTACTAAGAATTTGAAAACTATATATTATTTAAGTGCCACCTCGTTCAATGAATTATGAATATTATCTATTTATGTCTTATAAATATTATTCCAAAATTAAATTAATTGTATCATATCGATAAATTAAAATTCTTTTTTATTTTAAGTAATGTATAGGTATAACTAGCTCTATAACTAATTATTTAATATTATCAATTAAACATTCCTCACATTACAATACAATCAGTAAAAGTTTATACAAAATATTTATTTCAAATTTAGTGTTTTTATATTAAACGATCTAAATCGTTTTATCATAGTTTTTTATATGTTTTTAACAAAATAAGTTCTAATTAGTTTATTATGTTTATTTTTAAAAGCTATCGTTATCTTTTTATAACTTAAATATTTAACCTAATATTTTGTAAATAAAGCTTTAATTATAAATAAAATTTATTAATTTAACAAAATTAAACAAATTTTACAGAAAAATTCTGTAACAAGTTTTTAATATTCGCAGGTACCAATAATTATTATTAAATTATATTTGTGTAACCACCTGAATAAAGTTATTTTTCAACAGAATAAAGTAAATTATTCTTAATGTATCAAATGAGTAACCTGTAATTTAGGAATTAACTCAACATTTAATTCAATGAATTTATTTATTTTTTTAAATTTAATTTTCAATTCTTTATTATTTGTGGATAAATTTAATTATAATAAAATATTGATATAAACATCAATTTTTTTCATTGCATCGTATTTGTGTAAAAACATGTAATTAAGTTTTCCTTATACTCTAAACAAAATACTTAACTTGCAGAGGTTAGGTTAGGTTTTTCCTAAAAATGTAAATTATTTATCTTTTGATTTATAAATAATAATATCAACGTTATGCCTATAACTGTGCAAAATAGTGTCATAGAAAATTTAAATGATGTAAATGTTTTATGATGTATTGTTATAATTGACGATGGTATAAAAGACAAAAATAATTGAAAAAATATTCTCTTAACGATACGCAATACGTACAAAATTAAAAACCATTTTAATCTTTATTATCAATTGAAAATGCAACAAATTTAAACGCTACTTATTTTAGTACAAATAATACTTGATATCTTCAAATCATTGAATATTAATTCTGATTTTATGCATGGGCAATGCTATAATGGCACTAGTGTGATGAGTATAGCTGGGATTTTGATGCAAAGGCATCTTTTTCTCTGATGTTTCGTAAGTATAACATGTGTTTTGGGTGATACTGCTTATATTAAAGTAATTTTTTTTTTTGCGTCTCTTAGAATTTTTTGACGAAATCTACCCTAAATGTTTTTTGAAGGCATTTTGACGATTTTAGTTCATTTTCCTAGTAATTAGAGCATTTTTTACAATATTTGAATTTGTGAATTCATTAAATGAACAAAAATTATTGCGATTAGTAAATAACTTTCAAAACTGCCGATGGAACGAGTAATTAATTATAAAACTCGACAAGTAATTGTCAATAACAATTATTTTATCATAACTTGGCCTTTTCGTTTAAATTTTTGTTTGAAAATATAACACAGTTTATTATTATTCAGTATAATTTATTCAGGTTAGTAATAATAAGTACTAACTAGCAAAAATCAGTTGAAATGTATTTTTAAATTATTAATTTAGAGAGAAAGATTAAGAAAAAACTGAAGAACATTCAGCTAAACAAGTAACAATGTACAATACTATTGAAAAAAAAACAAAAACAAAACAAATACACTGATGTAGTACTATTTTTAATTATTTTTCTAATTTTTAAGCTGTAATGAGTTAATTTAAATATATTTTTATAAAACATTTTTTGAGTTTTTTAAGTAACTTTAAAAAATTGTTGATATTTTTAAGGCGTTAAAATTCCAACTCTAGTGAGAGTGATACTAAAGGTACTGATCAAGTTTTAATATTAAAAAAAAAACTTAATAGAACCACGTCATATATTTATTGACATAGTTCGATGTTAATGTACTCCACAAATTGCACGCTCAATATTTTAACTAGGATGAAATTTAACATAAACGTGTTGAACTACCACCTAGTCATTAAGAGTATGTTCAAGTGTACAAATATGTTTTCATAATTTTAGAAAGCATCTTTCTTAGGTTTATCCACAAAGATCTAAAATTAAACGAGACATATGTACAATTTTACAGTAGTTTGCGAAAAATAAAATTCTAGAGTAAAAGCAAATCCGAACCAAAAATTGAATGAGTAATGTGGTATCATTTTTTTTTTTTTGTAGATTAAATAAATCTGGATAGTGGACGTAACAGCGCTGATAAATGATATATTTTTTATGGACATGAGGAATGGCACTCTATGAGGAGATAAACTAAAAATTTATAAAATTTATCCATTAAAATGTTATTGTATTTTACGGAAACCTGATATTTAGAACTACAGTTATAGTAATCTGATAACAATGCAATTAAATTTCAGTTAGGTTTTTTATATCTAAATTAATACATTTTGAATCATAAACATTTTAGTGATAGTAAACATATTTATATAAATCTATATCAACATGTTTTTGGATTTATTCCATTTTTAGTATTTATATTACTATATGTATATGATAAAAATATATTCTAATATATTGTTAAATATAACTGTTTATAAGTTTTTTCAACTTGATTTTTAATTTTTAGTTTTTATAAATAACTAGGTATTACTAAGAAATGCTAACATGGTTTTAAATATTATAAAAAAAATTAAAACTATAAAGTATATATTTATTGTATGACTGTATATATATATAAATCTATAAAACCTTGTATTTATGAAATTTAAATAAAAACAATTGTACTTGAAGCTTTAGATCAAACCAAAACATATCAAATATATAAAATGTATTTATTTATAAAAATAAATGTTCTGTTGTTAAATGTATAGATGGATCGTAAAGGTACTTTGAAAACACTTAAGTTTGTACAATAATTCATTGTGCATGGCAATTCTTATATTTAGTTTATTTATAAAGAGTGGTAATACAATATATTTTTTTAATTTTCAAAAAGTATTACTTTGTAAATTCAAACATTTCCATAAAGTAATGAATCTTATGTTATGACGTAACGTTACACAAAAATGTGATTTCTTAAATATTAGTTTATAATATATAATGCAGAACATCGTAAGATATTTTATAATAATTTGAATTGTTCTTTTATGTGATACCTACCTTTTAGTAAATATGACATATTTTAATGTATATAATGTAAATTGTAAAATATTTATAAATGTCTCCAAACTGTTTCTTAGTCTATAACGACTAAAAATAGAAAAATATTCTGTGAAAATGTAAGGGTAATCTATTGATTGAAAAAATCTAATCTTTTTATATTATTATTGCATCTATGTTGCGCTAGTTTATCAATTTTATCTGATATTTATTTATTTTTAGAAAAATATAAAATGTTTCTTGATAGAGTTTTATATAAACGATAAAAAATAATTAGAGAATTTTTAAAATTGATCATCGGAAAAAAAAAGAAGTCTACCACTCAACCACTATTGATTACAATAATTAAGAATTTTCTACAGATAACTGAAGAGTAAAGGCCGTGCTTTAAAATACTTTTACCATGCAAATAAAATAAATAAATATTATTGATAAAATATAAATCATACTATACTAAAAGTTAAAACATTCAATACTATCGTAATATTGTGGCAGTTAAAAATCTTAAAACAAATTTACTCAATATGATATTTTCTACGTTGTAGGTATTACAAGAAATACAAAATAAGTCAACAATAAGATAAGACATTAAAAATACAAAACTTATTTTAACTAAAATTACCAATAGTATATTTATGGTTGA